CATTTGAAAATTAAAGTTTATAATTATATAATTTACATATGAATATTCGAACATGTTTTTAATTTTTTTTTTTTTTAAGTATATCAGGACATGTAGATTTAAATTATTTTAAAATGAGCTTGAAAATATTTGAATTTGTTTTTCAATTTGTCTTGTATATACAAAACTAATATCTCAGTTTATCTCTAAATTAAAAAACTGTTAATGTAAGCTATGTTTATTTAGTTTAGTGCATGTGCTTTTGTAGAAACTTACTATAATTAAATTATGTTTAGTATTTTATCTTAAAAATTAATTTTTCTTTAAGGATTGCCTTACACGTTTAATAATTGCATGCATTAATTGTAAGTGTTATAATTCTTTTTTCAAATAATGCTTAGCATTTATGTTATGAACTGTTTAAAAAAATCATGGATCATGTAATTATTTTGACTTCATAAAAAATTAGTACATAAAATATAACTACACAATAATTATTTTGATCGTAAAAAATAATTAAATTTTAAAAAAATGGTAAAATAGTTTTCATATTTCTAAATTAAATAGTTCATTTTTTTCTCATCATTTCTTTTGTTTTTTTTTTAATTCTTTCAAATATATAATTTGATAATTAAATTAATTATATATTAATCCTACCAAACACGAATCATAGATCCTGTATAATACAGCAGAAGAAATAATAACTTCAAAGAATGAAATTAATGCATAGTTTAGACTTTCACCCAAGATAATGTACTTAACTAAATTAACATTAAAAATCTACAAAAAATAAAAATAAGAATTCTTTAACCGAAATTAGTAACTACTTACACTACCACATATAATTGTTTTAACAAAAAAAAAGTCTAAATATTCAAATAAAATTCAATATTAGATAATCTTATAAAAAATTAAAATTATATCTTCTCACTTACCTCAAAAATTTCGCTCCTCAATCACAGTCCGAGCTAGCACTTCGTTTACAATCTTCACAGCAAAACAAGTTTATATAGACAACTAAAAAAATAAAAATAAATAAATAAATAAAAATACACACATGACAAAAAAAAGGCATCAACATCTTTATTCCGCATGGATTTTCGATAAAACGAACATTTTTCCTATCTCCCCCGCATTTCGCAGATCTGGTTGGAGTGAGTTGAGGAATGCGCTAATCAATTAGGCGCATTCTATAATGATTCGGTGCATTGTAAACACGCCAAATCATTTGGCTCATTCTAATGAATGCGCCATTTGATTAGGCTAATTCACTCCGTTTCAGGGGTTTTCCACGTAAAAATCTTGGTGTCTCATAAATGCTAGATCCTCTATCTTATCTGATTGTGTGCCGGATTTTCGTACAACGCTAAGACGATAAACTTTATATTTCTCTACCGCCGCGAATACTCCTGGACGCAACAATTCACAACACGGAGTCTTTCTAATTTATCAAATATAAATAGAAACAACACTTCAATATCATTTCCTTTTATTTCATTAAATTGTAATTATCATTAGAAATAACATAATGGAATATAACAGATAACAATATATTCACATTTTTCCTGATGCTTCATTATACCTCCAATTCCATTTATGCCTTTGATTTTCTTCCTACGCCTCCTTATACCTTCACTTTCACTTATAGCCCCACTTTTATATAT